AAAAAAAAAAAAACTACAAACCGGTTTTACAACCCGGACCCCTGCAAATGTATATGTTTCCTTCCTTCTCAACTTTCCACTTCCCATTTCCGCTGTTTCAATTCCCGTCTGCGTAATCGCCATTTCCATTCTCGTCCTCTTCACCATCCCCACCTTCAACCTACCAGCCGTCTCTCATTACCAATTCACCATGCGGTAGCATTGTAATTGTTCTTCGCCATTTCTTCTTCTTCGTCATCATCGTGCACTGCCAATAAACAAGTCCAACGAGTAAAGACCATCCCTGTAGCCAGCTCGCTCCAGATGCCTTCTCCACCCGATTCCCCCACTTCGCCTCCTTCCCCGCCTCCCGTCTCCTCAGCCAACGATAACTCCAACGCCGAGCGCCGCCTTCGCGAGGCGGAGGAGCGGCTCCGGGAGGCCATCCAGGAGTTGCAGCGCCGTCAGCGGAAAGCCGCACGTGGGCTTGCCAATTACCCTCCTTGTGATCACCCACCAGATGAATCCTGCGTCGCTCACGCCATCGGTAATCTCTGCCAGAGCTTTCTCCTCTCCTACGGCGTCCGTGTCGGAATCGGCATCTTGCTTCGCGCTTTCAAGCTCGCTAAGGGACAATCGTACTCGTCCTTGCTCGATCTAAAGGTTTTCTTTCATCCTCTCGTTTCGTTTATTCGCTCCCCGACTCTAATTGCCCACTGATCCACTCATTATCCCATAAATTATGCCGGAATTTGGTATGCAATTGAAGGTTTCTAGTATTTCTTTCTATGTGGAATTTGTGACGGTGGTTGGGATTGACACTGGGTACTGTTATCAGTTCATTTCTGATGCACTGGGAATTTCTCCATGATTGTATACAATTATTGTATTGCGGGGCGGTAGTGTGTGAACTCTGAATGAGCATATGTTTCTGGATGGGCAGCAATTAGTTTCAGAGAAGGATCTGATCGTCAGAGAAGAGGCATGTCGTGTAGGTCTGCTCTTTGGTGGATTCACGGGCTCTTATCATGCACTTAGGTGCTTGTTGAGGAAGTGCAGAAAGAAGGAGACCCCTTGGAACGCGTAAGTACTGGTCTCTCTTTCTTCTGTTTCCTGCAACTCTTGGGGCGGGGACGGGGCCCTATTCCTTATTTTGTGACATTGTTTAAGGGGATGATTGGAGCAGAATTTTAGCAGGTTCTGCTGCGGGGTTGTCGGTTTTAGCATTGGATGATCCCAACAGTAGGCGTACGCTTGCTCTTTATCTTTTGGCTCGATTAGCTCAGGTACATGCATATCCCCTGTACTTGAAGTCGTTTCTACTACACTTAGGTTTTGATCTTTTCTTTTCAAGTTGCTGCTAATCGTTCGCTTTCATGCAATCAGTGTGCTTATAATTCTGCTAAATCCAAGAACAAGTTTCACCTTTGGGGTAGCCATTGGAGACACGGAGACACATTGCTCTTTTCCTTGGCGTGTGCGCAGGTGTGTGGCAACAGTTGAATATAACATCCCTTTGAAGTACTAATGTTCAGATTAAGAATCATGCTTCTAGCTTGTTAACAAACGCTGATCAAATTTTGTGTCATCACTTCTAATGTGGTGGGTTACTTTAGAAATGGTACTGAACTTTTTTCCGGTCTATCCTCACATCTGATCTTTCCGTTTCTCATATGGTCTTTCTCATTTCCTTGTTGTAGGTTATGTATTCCTTTGTAATGCATCCTGATAGTCTGCCAAAAGCATATCACGATTTCATTCAGAAGACAGGGCCAGTTGCACAGCCAGTCTACAAGGCTGTAAGAGAAACTTGTAGAGGTGGTCCGGTGGACATCGCTGCACTATCTGCTTATTTATCTACAAAGGGAAAGCTGAACCCTCTGAAGTTGGGAGAAGCCCCTGCCATCATCCCTTGCTCTATTATTCATCCGGGTACAGATTCATGTTTAATTCAACAGGGTAATGCAGCATCAGCTACATTCAGGAAAACATTTCCCCTCTACTTCTCACTGACTTTTGTACCCTATGTTGTGCTGCACTTGCAGAAGGTACAGTATTTGACTCCATTAACTCTTGCCTTCTCTTTTATGGGTGTATTTGTTTCAACTTGACTTTTTTATAAGTTTTAGTAGCAGTGAAGAAAAAATGCTTTTTTTTTTGGGTTTTAGATAAAGTTGAGTTTGTAAGATAGGAGATGTTTTGTATCGATAGAAGAGCAATTTATGACATGATATATAATTTCTTGGGTAAATACAATATATTATCCATAACTATTAAGTAGCGGGGAATTATAGCCACAACTATCGAAATACAAATTATTAGCCATAACTATTGTTGTGGGTCAAAATTTGGCTAACAGCCCGTTACTGTTTTCAAATTTTTAACGTAGAAGGTCATGTCATCTTCGTAAAAAATATGATATGATGACTGCCACGTGGGAGCCAGCTCACCATCGTAAAAGCTTAGTCATCATTACTAACAGAAGTGTTAACGAAAAGTTAACGATTGGCTAATAATTTGTATTTCGATAGTTGTGGCTATAATTCCCCGCTGCTTAATAGTTATGGCTAATATATTGTATTTGCCCTAATTTCTTTGATGATAAAGAAATTAGGGTAATGTCTATTTAATAGCCAAACTTTTTTTGAATTCTTTTTTATTAGCCAAACCTATCGAAATACTAAAAATTAGCAAAATTTTAACTTTCAGTTATCAATTTTGTTAGTAATATTGACTTGGCAACATGATACCGACTTGGAAGAGACACATGAAGGTCAGCATTTAAAAATTTTAGTCTTTTAACTAAGAAAAGAGTTACAAAATTATTAACGATAAAGTAAAATGTGCTAATATTTAGATGCATTATGAAAGATTTGGCTAATTAATAGCATTTTAATAGGTTTGAATAATATAAATGAATCTGAAAAAGATTTGGATAAAAAATAAACATTACCCAATAAATTAGTGATTGTTGGGATCATTCGTATATATGAAAGAGTGGATGGTTATCTCACAGGGAAGAAGTTGGATATGAAGATCTATTAGTTGGTTGGCTTACTTTTGAATAATCTGTGAGGTTTAGGGTTAATAGTTGTTTTGAAAAGTTAGATAGGAATGTGTGTTGGCTTCTCAATTCCTTAGTCAACATATTTGTAAGTTAATTATTTGTTAGCTTACACAAACATGCTCATTGTTTTTTGTAAGATCAGTGAACAAGTGTTTCTTATTTGTTTGCTGATGCCATTGACACCCTTTGAAGTTCATGGATGCGCCTGCACGGACATGTTGGCTTGCTCTGAGGGATGCTGTTCGGTCGACAACCTTCTTGTCTGCTTTTGTTGGAATTTTTCAGGTGGGCATGTGTCAAAACTCCTTATTTTGTCCCCCCCCCCCCCCCCCTATATGGTGAATATGATCTCATTAGTTTGTGTTGGATGGTGCTAGAGTGTGATATGCCTGCATCGAAAAGTTGCCGTCAGAGACCACAAGTTGTTGTACTGGGTGGCGGGTGGACTATCGGCACTCTCTGTACTATTTGAGAAAAAGTCTAGACGTGCAGAACTTGCACTGTATGTCCTTCCTCGTTCTGGAGACTCATTGTGGTACATCTTAGTTAACCGCCACCTACTTCCTAAGCTAAAGAATGCTGAGGTAATTGTGATATAACTCGCCTGTGTTTTGTTTTCATCCAGTTAGAAAAAATAGTTTACTTGAATCAAATTGTTTGAACATGAACACTGGTCTCTCTTACATGTCATCTTTCACCTTACAATCGAGAGATAGATGAGACGAAGGAGGCTAACCATTGAGAGGAGTTTGCTGCATTTTTCTTATGGTCTGTTAGCTGCACATTCATTCACCCATGGAAGTGATTATCTTGGTAATACAGAATTTGCTATAGCTGATCAAAACATACTGGGTTTGTAATGAATGCAGGTAGCACTGTTTTGCGCTTGCATGGGAGGAATTATGTATTACTTAGAATACGAGCCAGACACAATGGCTCCCTTCCTAAGGGGTTTAATCCGGCGCTTCCTTGCTAGCAGAATCAGCAGTCCAAGCCCTTCACCTCATCCCCGTACATCATCATCGTACACATATTTGCAGGCTATTGATTCAACCAAGAAGTCGAAGTCCCAGGACGGCAAAGAAGTTGAAGCCTCTCATAAATACAATCTTGAGTCTATTCCAGGGCTCTGAAGCCAGCTGCAATCTGGTGTTTTTTCAACCACCAGAAAGTCTCTGGCGGCAATCGGTTCATTCTTTCTACAATTCAACGAGTTAAAAACCCCATTTTGTAATGGAGGCAGATTAGGATTTCTGCTTCAACCACCCATTTCACTTTCATCCAGATACTGTTTTAACCCTTTTCCCCCGGCTAAAAGTTATTCTCCAATCCTGACAATAAAACTGGAAAAGACACTACCGCAATAATGGGCAGGCAGGATAAGGATAAACCGTGTCGAGGTTGTATTGAAAAAGTCAAAATTACGATTTAATCGTGGTTAACCTTTTCATATTACTAAAAACTATATTAATTTTGGGCAAGACGCTCTTCAGGTTGGATTGTGTTACGGTTTTTGTATGTAAATATTTCTCTATGGGGTTGAAATTTGAAGAGTTATCAAAAGAGCTTTTATGAACTCATTATTCTCCCTTTTTAGGGTTAGAAGTATAATATGTCCCTCTTCTGTGCAATTTTATCAAATATGTCTCTTTACTATATGTTTGATAATTTTTCCAAATATAAGTGCATGTTTGATGTAAAAAAATAATAGAGTGACTTATTATACGTATAACCTCTTCATTGTTAACAATGAGATTGTGGCAGTTGAAAGTAGAACGGGAACACAGTTACACTTGTCTCTTTTTCGTTTACTTTTGACATTTTTTGGGTTTTGATAATTGTGTTGTGACCCATGACCAATTCTGGTCAAGCAAGCCAACAGGACATTTATACACATTCAACTCTTTTACTCCTTCATTACGAGCCTGCGTTGATCGAAGGTGTGTCAGGCGCAATGGAGAGGGCGTTGATCGAAGCGTGTCAGGCAGGAAACGTCGACGCACTGCACCAACTCCTCCGATCAAACCCCTTTCTTCTCCACTCAACAGCAGCATGTTCCCCGCAGCAAAATCCCTTTCACGTCGCCACAATCGCCGGGCACGTTGACTTCACGAGAGAGATGCTGAAGCTGAAGCCAGAGTTCGCCGGCGAAGTGAACCAAGACGGCCTCACCGCCTTGCACTTCGCGGCGGTGAGCGGGCAGCTCGAGATCGTGAGGGAGTTGGTGAAGGTCAACAGGGATTTGTGTCGGGTGGAAGAAGGAAGAGACGGATTGACGGCTCTTCACTGCGCGGCCATGAAAGGCAGGGTGGAGGTTATCGGCGAGATGCTGGCGACCTGTCCCGGTTGTGTCGACGATGTGACTGCCCGGCGAGAGACTGCTCTCCACCTGGCGGTGAGGAACAGCCAGTTTGGAGCAGTTAAGGTTTTGACGGATTGGATGGCGGAGAAGAATAAAAGAGAGGCGTTGAATTTCAAGGATGAACAGGGGAACACGGTTCTTCATCTTGCGGCATGGAAGAAACAGAGACCAGTAAGTGTTTTACAATGTTTCTTTGGGTTTCGTGTTTGTCAAGTTACAAGTGAGACCGATGAATTTCGAAGGGGCTAAAAGGTTCGCTTCGGTCCAGGTGATTGAATTGCTCCTGGGAAACAGAATTGCAGGCACTCTAGACGCAAATGCCATGAACCACGCAGGTCTCACGGCGCTAGATTTGATGCTCATGTTCCCAAGTGAGGCAGGCGACAGAGAAATTATTGACATCCTTCAAGCCGCTGGAGCACTACGAGCCAGCGCCAGAGAGATTCCCACATCCCAACACTCAGCTGATCATACAACCGTAACCATTTCCAACTCGACACTACCAGTGCCACGTCGGCGAACTGCAGAAGCAAAAGAGCTGATAGAGTACTTCAAATTCAAGAAGGGAAGAGACTCTCCGAGCGAAGCCAGAAGTGCGCTCTTGGTCATTGCAGTTCTGGTTGCCACTGCGACATTCCAGATCGGCATCAACCCTCCTGGTGGCGTCTGGCAAGACACGCACGCAGCAGGGAAAAACACCACCGCAGACTATACAAAACCACATAATGCAGGGGAGTCCGTTCTGGCTTCAGGAAATCCAGTTGCGTACTCCATGGTCGCGGTGTTCAACACGATTGGATTCTCCACCGCTCTACTGATGATCAATGTCCTGACAAAGAGATTTCCTTTACAACTCGAGCTGCAGATATGCATGACGGCAATGTATGTTGCATATAACACGTCAATCATCACCATCGCACCGGATGAACTTAAGAAGATTGTTGTCCCATCAATATCAATACTCCCCATACTCATGGGGTTTGCTGTTCATTGGGCAAGAACAGTTATGTATCGTATTGAACAGCTTGTACAGAGAATGACACATAGAGTCCCCTGAAGTCTAACATCGAACACCGACTTTAATCATCACTGAGTTTACAAATTTTGTATGCCTTGTTACCAATCTTGCACTCAATGCCACTAAATTTACAAGTGAATACCCGCTTCAGAACTGGCCTCCTCGCTTCTTCATCCACTGCTCTCTTTAAGGAACCACTGATGTCTCCCAATGCCCATGCCAAAGATATGTGTGGCCGTGGATCCTGTAGCCAACAAAATTCAACATCGTATGGTGAAACTCAAAAAGAGGATCGACGTATTAGGGCATTGCTTGCATTCTGCCAAGGTCGTGAACTCAAACCTCATAAAACTGGGGAAGATTGTGTAACCTGTACACTTCATCAACAGAATGAATTTGTTTCTTGATCTGAATAGGAAACAGAAGCACATTAGCTAATGTGACAATATGGGAATTGGGAAGGAGGTCCATGGAGCAAGGCAAGAAGATACCTCAGCTAAACCCCCTGTAACCACTTCAATTGAAAGAAAGGTGCGTGTTTGATCATCATTTACAAAAACCTCCCACTTGTTGAAGTCGATCCAGTACCTGCTTCCAATGCATTCACTTGTCAAAAAGTTTGAGTCTTTTTCATATGCTTGTTATGGATGAAGGCAAGAAGCAAAAACATCTCACCGTCTGGGAGACTGAAGCTTCTGGCGAAGCATCGAGACCACGGAATCAATCTGATGAACACGAATGGGCACCGTCCTTCCCAGGCTAACATGAAACTCACTTCCCACCGCAAACTGCTCGAGCTTCTGCTCGTCCTGGCAAAGAATGTGCAAAGGAACATCGGCGTCCACGACGTGGAGGTCCGGTACAAGAGGCGAAAGTTGCTTGAGAAACAGCGCAACTTCTTTCTTTGATGCAGGAGGAATATGAACTGGGATGTAGACGTGCACAGCATAGTTTCCTTCCACGTGGGGAAAGCTTCTCAGTCGACTCGGCTGACTGGGTTGGAAGAAATCCGTCGATCCTTCATTGGCAAAAGGTCGAACACCTGGTGAGCAGAAATGAATAGGGAGTAGTAAATTAAAATTTGAAGCCTTTTGACGGTACCAATGGAGTTGGGAGGCGTCAGAAGCGAGACAGGAGGAGGCGGCAGCTTTGTGGCCGTCGATTGTTTTGACGCTGGGACCGCATCGGTTCTTGCCGAGAGAGGAACTTCGGAGTCGGAATCCGACGAATCGTCTCCGTAGGACGCGATGAGAGCCTCCATCGATTGAAGTCGTCTCCAATCGTCGCCGGAGACATTTCGTCTTTTGAAGCCCAAAACACCTGAGATATGGGCCGGCAGCGAGAAATTGTTATTGAGACAAAGAAGCCCATTTGCTGATGGGGCCAACCGCTATTTATGGAATGGGTTAGCCTCACTCCTATTATATTTTGGGTTATAGGTATAATACTAGCTTTTTTACCCGATCCGTTGGTCGGATAAATTTAGTTTTATTTATTATAATTTTATATTAATTTATTTTTTCATATTTTCAAACAATTTGGGATCTTCTAAATAGTTTATTAGTCGGTTGAAACTAATATTTGTGCGAATTATTGATTGTAACATTAGTTAGTTTATAAGTATTTGTATTGATCATGCTATCGCTTACTGTTGTCTATATATTTTTTACATTTAAGAAAAAAATCACTTCCTATTGTTAGAATAAATTACTTAAAAAATATTTCTTCATAAAATTTGATATTATTCACTTATTTTTCTATTATATCCATGAAAATAAAATAATTAAGCATTGAAGTATTAATTATAAAATCCAAGTGATTTTCCCTATTAGTAATTTGGAGGGATAAAAATCTATCAAATAAAGGATTCAAATTTTATGGTCGACAACCATTAGGTACTAATTGAGAAAATACAAAATTATTAACTAATAATTCACTTTTAAATAATATATATCTCCAAAAGCAGTTGTGGTTGTTAATAGCTAACATTAATGTATACGGATAGTACAATTGTATTATAATGGACATATCTGAAATATTCCAATTATTTCTTCAAAATTTTAATTAAATAAGGCACTCTATAGTTCAAACATACAATCATTTGTTGTGAAAATTAAGTTTCTGAAAAAGATTCATGATTTTAGGAAATCAATATGGATTTTTTATAATTGATTTTGGTGTTGCCTTTGATATCTAGAAGTCAACACTTATAGATTTGTCTACTATGCCATTTGAAAGATTCTAAAAATTTATAACAAATATGTACCACCAACAAATAAAAACTTTTTTGTCAAAAATTTGTGTGCCCATAAATTTGTTCTTAGCTTTGTGCTCGGCTTTTAGCTCGATAGTATAACATATGCTAAATTTACGATAGTCCTTGTGTTTGCCACCTATTTCATAGCATATTAGGTTTCGAGTATCCACAAATATTAGTACGCTTTCAACAATTATGTTTATAGTTACACGTATACTAACATTATGAAGTGAAAATTTACAACAATAAATAAATATAATAAAGAAAATTAATTAAAAAGAATACCATCCGTAAAGCTCAAGAATTATTAGTGAATTAGTTGGTAATTTATTATCCTTTTGCAAAAAAATGGACAATTAAATTATGCTCATCGCTATTTTTGGAAGGTCAGATGATCAACAATAAAAGTCGGGGAATTTCAAGAAGATTCCCAAAGATGTTTCCCTCCCTCCAGGCAAATGATCGACTTTGCTTTTGCTAGTAGAGAATGGAGCTGTTATACCTGCATAAAACAATGTCTCTTGAAATAGTGTTTACTTTCAACAACTTGCACAATTCCAAATTGATTCGTAGGTCAACGCGATCACATATTTTATTGACTTATCTGTTGATCATTATAATTAGAAGCAACAAATAAAATGAAAAGCATAGTGATAAAGATGACTATTAATACCATAGACCGATAGACGCATCCCTCTTCGCTACTTTCTGTTGGCAACTATGGAAAAATAGAAACCTCTGGGCCTTCGAGAGACTATTGGCGCCGGCAACCCAGTTAGCCTACCAAATCCGGCAAATGCGAGTGCAGATTGATCAATCTTCCAGGAGGATTGGGCAGGTTCTTGGAGAGGCTACAGAGCGGGTGGAAAGGGGAAATAGAATAGGGTTTGGGATTTTCACAAAAAGGCTACAATTTCCCCTTTATTAGTTGTTCTAGGCGTCGCCCACCAAAGTGAAAACGCGTCTCCGAGTGCCCAGGTGGTGCCTAGATCAATCGCCCAGAGCTAGACTGGGCGATTCCCTCCTGCCCAGCTATTAATCGCGCCTAGGCGAGAGATTAATCGCGTCTTCTTGAACACTGAATAAAAGTGGACCAAACAAAGACATTACATCCAACTCATTTCAGTTCCATCTTAACACAGTATCGGAGGCATGTACTATTATTATACAAATGATCTTACGCTCTCAATTAGGAACTAAGCGAAGGTTAAATGCTTGATTGGCAAACTAAATCGATGAACCTAGTGATCTTAAAGAAAAAATTAATGATCACATGATTTCTTGGACCAAACTACTAAAGGAAAAAAAGAAAAAAGAGACCGTACATTAGCATAAGAACTCAACAAATTGAGTGAACAAAGTGGGAAGATGTAAACTCAAACCGTTCTTCCGAAGGTCATGGATTAAATCATTAGTTGTCGATTACATAGCCTAAACTGCAAGTTATATCCAAAATAGAGGCAATTTAGAAACAAAATAGTTAGATAAGAAAGCCGTGAAACACAGAAAAATTGAGTGAACAAAGTGGGAAGTATTGCTTTCAATTAAGCTTGATTATGTTGACATAAAGCAGACACACTTTGACTTTGGAAACCTAAACAAAAAGCTTAAGAGTGGCAAGAGAATTCTTCCCTTGAGGTTCAAATATAGCCTACCTATATGAGTAGAGCCAAGTAATTACCATGATTCCATTTTACACATACCATCTCACAACCAACTGCTGCTAATGCTCTGGTCCGTTCCAAACCTCACCTGCTCATATCTCCAATACCATATCACGAAACCAAGAATTATACACAACTAAAAGATCCAATAAGGAGAGTAACTTAGCATGGAACTTTGTGATGGGGGCAAATTTTATGGTCAGTATTAAGCTGTGCAAATTATATCACCTCTGCAAAGCTCACTACTTCCAGTAGTTTCTCACAGAACCAGCTACCGTCCTAATCCCTTCCTTCCTTCCCAGGGTCAGAGTGTGAAAAATGGCGTCCATCTCCGCCACAACCACAGCTTCTTCCTTCATCCATGCATCTCTCCGTCGCAATCCCTCTCTAGGGGTTTCCTCCGCCCCAGTTCTCGGTGAGTACTCTTGACGCCCCCTCCCCTGAAATTCACAATTACCTTTGGCTTTTATCAATTCAGCTTGGGGGAACCAAGAAATTGAATCGATTGGGTGATATGCAGGGCTGTCGTCGATGGCGAAGAGAGGGAGAGTGGTGAAGTGCTCGGCGGAAGGAAACGGAAGCAACGACAGCGGGTGGGATAAGAAGGGGATGATGAGCGCTTCACTGATGGCGGCGGTGGCCGCAGCAGCTGCGTCGAGCCCAGCGGCGATGGCTCCTCAACAGATGCGAGCAGTTGGAGCGATTTGTAGCGACCTTCTAGAGGCTGAAGCAGAGAAGAAAGAAGAAGCAGGGTTCGTGGCGGCGGGGGAGACGGTGGTGGCGGCGGCAGTAGTTGTGCTTCTCGCCGGAAGGGAAAGCCTCGATCGTCGACAACCTCTTCGCCACGGAGATCGTTCGCTGCACTCCCAAACGCGATCTCCTCGGTCGCAGCAGAAGCGGGCCGTCACTGCTTTCCGCCACTGACCACCAAAACGTCTGGTCGTCTTCCCATGAACTCAGCAACAGCCGGCCGTCAGCGCCTTCCTCCGCTGAACACGAAACCGTGACGCCTCTTACCAGAATTTTCCGATGGAAACTGATTCTCCTCCTGTCCTGCGGGTAGGCGAAAGGATAACCCAGTAGAAAAGGTGGTATTTCAGCCAAACAAAAATTAAATGAAAAATAAATGATAACTAAATGATAACGTGGGAAACCAGGAGAAAAAGGTGGGTAGTGGACGATTCTTAGTTCTGCAATCTGGCGGAGAGTTCTATTTTTTTCCCGCTCAACACCCTGCCACATCAGCTTCCTAAAATCACTCTATGGACAGGAAAATTTGAATGGGGGTGGCCGTTTTACTTTTCAGCTATAAATTATACTGTTGATGTCTCTCTACTATGATGCTTTATCAAACATGTCACTTTATTATTTTTTTTATATCAAACATGCCCTTGTACTTTGAAAAAATTATCAAACATGTCCGTCTGTTAAAATTCCTTTGAAAAAATCGCCAATCATGAATATTATACCTATAACCCTATATTTTTTTGTTGTTGTCACCGTGACAAATCTCTCAATACGTTAGTTAGATGTGGTAAATGGATTGATTTATGGATTGGTAGATTCATGGATCAAATGGATTGGTCGATTTATGAATTGAATCAAATGGATTGGTGGATTATTCATGAATCCAAATGACATCCTCAATCTTGGATCAATATGTAAAATGTGAAAAGTTCAGGTACTACCATGTCATAATGAAAATTTTTAGGTACCAAAATGTAATTCTTCAATGATAATTTATGTATAAAAATAAAATTTTAGGTACCAGAGTGTAAAAAATAAAATTTATAGATACTGAACTGTAATTTGCCAATAATTCATGAATCCACCAATCCAATTGGATTTAGATTAGTTGGGTATTTTAAATGGATTGGTGGATTGGATTTAGAATTGTCACATCTAATGGCCGTCCATTTTTTTATTTTGGTTGAACGACTATGGAGCTATCAAAGTCAACTAGAAGACCAAGGTTTGTTTTCTTATCGATGATTATGCATATGAAATTGGGTGTGATGTTGCTCCAATGCTGCTCATCTCTTATTGGATCATCCATAACAATATGACCGAGGGGTTATTCATGATGGAAGACACAATAGATATCGGTTCATGAAAGGAGATCGGAAGTTTCTATTGAATCCGTTGTCACCAGCTAAAGTCCGAGCATATCAACGACAGGTGGAGCTGAATTGGGCAAGGGTAAAGGACATGCAAGTAGCGGGAAGTCGGAGGACGGAACGGGAAACAATCTTACTGCTCGAAGGCACATATTGATTGCACTAAGGAGGATTCCATTTGAAAATTCTGTTGATGTTGTCTTTTGTAAAAAAACACAAGCTTTGAGGGCAAAGCTTTTACAACAATGAGGGACTGATGTCACTCGTCCCCAATCGGGAATGGAAGAAGGTACCGGGGA